GTTTCTCACTGTTGCTGTTGACCACTATCTGGGAGAGGTTTTGGTCAAGAACCTTATGTTATAAATACAATGATATCATTTGGGTCCCCCATCTATCTCAAGACCAACATCTCTTGCAATACACACCAGTCAGTTATTTACTTGGTGTCGGGATCAAATGGAATCTTATATATAAGCCTGGAAAAGAATTTGGGATGTCTGGACAACTGAATTACTAGGCGCCAGGAGTCGGAAGTGCTTATCCATCAAACAACAGTGTGTGAGCATTATCCGTCAAACAGGGTAAGATAAATGAAAAGACAGTTCAATTTCAAAAACGGCAAACAGATATCCACCTAGTCAACATAGAAAAATATTTATTGACTGAAATGGGCAATTCTATATGGATTTCGCGGGAATGTTCAGCCACAAAAGATAAGCAAAGTGGTGAACTGGAGGGTTTACTTGAATTTTTTTGATGTATTTAAGAGAGGAGGAAACTGGACAACGTAGCTCAAAATAAACACACAACTGGTCAGTCATTCTTGGCTCGATGGTTGTATTCAAATTCCTGTCCAGCTTTCATCCGAAACTTTTAGGTGGTAGTCACTGATAGTGATTTCCGGCCATGTTTTAGGCTTGAACGTTCAGCAAAACTTATCACACGACGAATACCAGTAGAGCTAGAATATATTATTACATACATGCATTCACAAGATTATAGAATGAGGAGTAAATGAGTTTCTTCACTAATCTAGAAAACTATGCATTATTTCGCGACACCAAAACTACGGAAATGTTAAGTTTTAAGTGCTTCGATTAGAGAAGAACCGCTTGGTCAAATCCAACTCAAATCATCTATGAGTGTTGGACACACTCCCCAGTGATCGCTGAGCCACCTATTTAACAGAATGATTGCAATTCTGATTGATCATATTATCGGAAGCGAGAAACAGGGGAGTGAAAACATACCCGTGTTAATAAAGAACAAAGTCTAAACAAATGAATGGCGCAATCTCTTCGGTTACATGACTACCAAGCAAGTCAGAACCCGGTTTAAAACTCAGCTCATTTGTTGGAACTGGGTAAACAAAACAAAGTTATCCCATTTTTGGCATGCACTTTGCATCCACAAAGTGTAAGGTCATGCTCCTGGACATGCAGTCACTGAGCACGTCATTTTAAAATCCTGGAAGTGTTACTTGAAGTTGTGGAGCGTCTTACTTGTCTTGGAAGTTGTATTAATTCTTACTGTAGTGTGATACATAAGTTCAATGCAGGAATCTGCAAGGCCCGGATCGCGTTTGCTAATTCAAGACACCTAAGGTACCAAAGCGGTATTTCCCTGAATCCCAAGGGAGGTGCCAATCAGGCTGTTTTGTTTTATGGCTATGAGAAACGGCCCGTTCCAGCAGCGGAACTGCGAGGGTTTCAGGTGTTCGACAATCGTTGTCTCAGAACCATAACTCCTGTGGGTTGGTGTCGGAGAATCCGCAACGATATAACTAGAAAGAAAGTGTTGTGCAACAATGTGGGGAATAATGTGTCTGTCACCAGATTTGGTGATGTACTGCGCACGACAAATATCCGCTTGCTGAAGTTTGTGCTGCTTTTCGTGTTCAGTTCGGAGTGACGCAAGCAGAGAGAAAAGGTACGAAGGAGGAGATACGAAAAGTCTGGGTGCTGTCTGCCCGGCTCGATTTCTAAGATCGGGGTCCTGGTGGTTCCAGTGTACCTGGTTTGTGACGCTTCAAGATATGGCTTCTAATAGATGTGGGCGGTGTTCTTGTCGTCAGTTTTAGTCGTTATGTTTTGTGTTGGTCCGGTTTAAGTACCACCGGTAAATGATTTAACATACACTGTATTCATACAAACTGTTTTAGGTGGTTACGGCATTTGAAAAATTTACATTTACTTCATTAGCGTCTGGACAGTCATCCTGTCATGGAGCAATTGTTCTGTTATTTCCACACTAAAGAGGAAAAACCTACACTTGGGTTTCAGTCTTCTTAGTGCTCATCGACAGTTTATATCCTTGGTCATGCCATCGAGAATCGGGAGTTCAAATTTCTGCACGGCCAAAGATATGTGCTCTAATAAGGGTGAAGCTCTAGTTCACTAGTTCCCCTCTTTGATTTGCACTCACCAGAATGACTGCGGTAGGACAGGAGGTGAACGTGCACTCAGGTCGTCGCAAGATTTTTTTAGGATTATACTCAATAGCGTCAGTTTCGAAAACCTAAACAGTGGGAAAGCTGATTTGCTAGCAACTTTACAATTGTTGTTCTAGAGCTAGTGGATCCGTATCTATGCGTTGGGGAGTTGACTGCGTCAGTCTATGCGCAAGTCATTCGGGTTGATCGACCCCGCTCCCCCTGTTGTGCAGAGCTTGGATATCGATTCATCCGTGTTGGTGTCCGTAGGCTTCCCCACACTAGCAATCGGCAAGTGAGCTTTTTCAATTGCCCCGTTGATTGTTCTTCTTTTTTATTCACTAATGTTCGTGCGCGTGAATCAGTACAGTTTGAGCTTCGATCTTTTTCTGGCGGTCAGTAAGCTACACATCGGTCAGCCAGGCAGTTCAGCAGTACAGTACCGTATATAACATAAGTAACAGCAGAGATTTTAAGGACGGAGGGAATATTAGAAAATTGGCGATCAGAGTGTATCTTCGGAATTATCACATGTTGGCCACCAGGCGCTTACCTACTATTACATCTTCTTCTTCAAAAAGCGACAATATGTAGTTCTTCCTTTGATGGGCGAGCTGAACCACCTTTTCGTGGTGCCGACTTGGTAGCCTGGACATCAGTTTGGGTGAGCTAAGAGTTCAGCAATTCCCACAGGGCTACCCACCCCGTTTGGTTTCTATATGCTGGTTACTTTTGGCAATGTACAGTACAAATTTTTTGGAGTCTGCGCACCAGTTCCAACCGGTATACAGGAGAGGCCCGTGGGGCTCATGTTTGAGGAATGTGGCAAGTGCTTCAAACCGAAGGTTGGCTCGGTAGCCTACCATCGAGTTCACGACAATGAAGCTGTTGGTACGAACATGGTCGCCCAATCGGCCTGCGATGATTGTTCCCGACTGTGTTTTTACGAAGCTCGGCTTGAGCTAACATCACCGGGACGCACATCCCACCCAGCACAATGCTGATAAGCTTCGCCGAGTGAAGTATTCCGGTGACCGCTGGTCCCAACAAGGGTCACAATTGCTCTTGCGCCCGGCTAACAATTTATATCAGCCTGGTGGCACACAAACCGCGCTGTTCGCGAGACTGGGGCAGTATATTCCTGGTCGATCGGCTATCAGCATCAAAACCAGGTTACGGATGCTTAACTGGCAAACACAACAGAGCGAATCATCATCTGGTGGTCCTGACCAAACTATCGGTCAAGTAGCGGTCTACTCGTCAGAAGCCGATGATCATAGCGTCCGGTTTAAACGACCCGTGGATTATGCCATGTCATCCTTGGAGTCCATGCTGACAGTTCGCTTGATAGTGTTGACCTTCTGGCATTTGCCCGATGGTTGCAGTCTGGGATCGTGACAGTGGAGCAAGTCCTGTCGCTTCTGGACATTCGCGCCTCCAGGACATTTCCACACACCTGAAAAAATGTATCCCGACACCGCTGTCAGCTAGCCCATCGGATGCTGGTCAACCTAAAGCAGATCCGCCGAGCCAACGGCGCCGCCATCCAGACCCTATACCACCAAAGACAGAGTCTATCTTATCTGACTGGAACTGGTGGTGGCATGACTTCAAATGAGACGTTTCTCTCTTTTATCTCGTTTTCTCCTATAACCCTTTCACTTTCACCGCCTGCATTCACTTATTCTGTCTGTGACAATGCTCTCCAGAGATAAACAACATTATTTTTTCAGTAAGGAATTCATTCTATCAGGGAAGCTCATCTATGCTGAAAAGCCTAGAAGCACTGTACAGCTCTTTCGTCCTTTTTATGAATCATCAACAGTGCGCATCTCATGAACCTGAGGGAGTTTCGAAGCCGCAACCTTCCGACTTGGTGGTTGAACACTTGACCGTTTGGTCACGGGATGTTTAGCAGCATTGTCACTAACTCTGATGTAATTTTGTCATGAACTTACTTACCTTAATCTCAGCTGCTTTGTCGTGGTTAACGCAGCAACAATAGCGACTCAATTGATTCTTATACACTGTACAGTGCAAACTTAGGGTGGTCATATTTCTGATGTGCTCACCCGGAATGCGTGATTATGACTTATACACTGTACAGTGCAAACTTAGGGTGGTCATATTTCTGATGTGCTCACCCGGAATGCGGTGATTATGACTAGCCATGGTACAGTTCACTGGTACAGCTTGGGATAGTTTTCTTGGTGATATGGTTGTATAGCTAGTGTAGCGGTAGAATAAGTGCTTTCGGTAGTGATGAGACTGATAGTACTCACTTTTGAACACATTTTTATCATTTTCTCGGCCGCAGTGCCTCATCAGTCATGCTTCGGTAAAACGGCAAATCACTGCTAATTGGGATGCGCGGTTTTTCACTGTGACTTTTCCGCTCTAATTACGCCCGGGGCTCTCAATGAGGAATCGGTAGTTACAAAAAGTTCTGCTCCTGCCTGCCGTTCATTGCGTCAGAGGAGGCTTCAAGCCGGTGTGATTTTGATGCATCTCATTTTAAATCGACTTAGGAAAAGCGGACTGGTCTCGAAAAGACCTGATAACCGGTGTTTAATCAAATAAACACCCCGCGGAAATATTGAAATTCTATACAAAACCCTCCATCAGACACACAGACGACCGATCTTCCGAAACCTCATGGGATTGTTCCAATCCAACACTGTCATCCTGTCACAACCTGGTCATTAATCACGTTCGATTATCACACGCACTGACTGTTGTTCCATCAGAGCGCATGTTTGTTTGGCGCGACTGGTTAGAAGTCAGTTGGTAAACAACCGCACACCACACCACACCACACCGCACCGCACCACACTACTACATCACCACAACACAGCCATCTCTCATCGGATGACCTCTTTCTCACCCTCCATCAAACGGGAAGGACCCGATGATCCGCGGGCGGAAAAGGGTAAAGTTGTCATGCGCAGGTATTTTGTCTCCACCCAGAAGACTGGCCATCCACATGCGAAGAAGCCCGTCTCCGACATATGTTTTGTGTTTACTAATAAAAAGGTGTGTGCATGGCAGCTTCAAGTAAATTGGGAAAGGGCAAGTATAGAATCGATGCGAACAGACGAGCGCTACTTGGATTTCATCTCTGGTACTGATACGGCAATTCAACCATTAGAAATCTGTTCGTCACTTATTTCTACAATAAGTGATGACGAATGACAATGTTCTTAAGGTTCCTGAAAATTCTTCGACCGAATTTGCCCGTCTTGGGGCTCATTAAGTAAGCACAGACCCCCGAGTTTCCGTCTTGTTCTACCTGAACACCAAATTCGCAGAATACGCTCAGTTGAGAGTTTTCCGCGTAGTGTGTTCCCTCAAGAAAATATACTGCAACATCCGGAATGCGAAGCATGAGGCGGCAGCACATTCATTTGAAGGGCATCATAAACGAGAGTTTCAACAAGGATCTAGTTTAGTATCTCTTTAAAACCAAGCTAGTTTAATGTCTATGTTATGTGAAATCACTTGCATCAATGGAGATTTCGTGAACCAGGGATGACAGTTTATGCAGTATTTCTACAAATACTGCATTAAGTTGGCTAAACATGCACATCAAAAACACATCCGTATACGTACACCAATGCGCATCCTTTGTTTCTTGACTATGTGGCAACTGTGTGACTCCGTATAGAGGACTAGACATGAAACGGAGAGTCAACCGTCATGTAATTTGGAACAGAAACGAAGGTCCACTTTTCTCCTTAGTTCACTGTATGTTTGTTCATTTGATTTGGAACTTGGCAGACATACTATACCCACGAATGATTATTGTCACCATTTATTCCGCATTTTTCACAGGAGACCAGGGAGAGTGTGCAAGTGTAAAGGTTTCAAGTGGTGCTCCTTACGGTAAACCAAAATCAGCCTCTTCGGATTAACGAATAAACAAGTTCGTTCGTTATTAGCGGAATACATTCATTTGCAAACTGATTTGGTTTTGCGAGAGACTCACCTGAAACTCAGCTGAGTCTCTAATTTATGATAAGCCCCAAGAAGGACAAATGCTATAGGCTATCCACGGGTTTCTAGCAACCTTGAGAGGTGCATTAAGTCCATACATGTATCGCGATATCTATAATATCGTACCAACTTAAACGTGAGGTGGCTTGGTGCGGCATATTCAGTTGCTTAAAGCATCATAAACGAGAGATTCAGCTGGGTTTCAGGTGAGTATCCCTCAAAATCAAATTGGTTTGCAAATAAAGGTATTTTCCTAATTTCGTGCAATTTATGTTCAGCAGAAAATAAGTTTGATGGAAACTCGGGGACTGCGCCTACCTGATGAGCCCCAAGAAGGGTGAAATCGGTTGTGGGCTGTCGAAGAGTTTTCAGCAACTATATGAGTATTGTAATCGTTTAATCCATTGTTCCTGCTGGATTGAACAGACACCCTCTTGTTGGCTAGTTTTGTGTGACGTACCATGACAGGTCTGTTGGCCGAAGCACTACATACACTTCCTGGGCCTTTAACTAACTGACCTACTGGCGCTCAATTCAAAATAACTACAGACTTGCATAATTCAGAGACGTGGTAATTTACTACTCCTCAAGGGGTTTTGGGATTTTGTTTTTCAAATACTCTCTCATAATTAAATCCCAACTCCATGTGCGAACAGGGCTATCTGATGAGTCGCCCATAATCTTGAATCATTATCCATTAGTACCTTTGAAGCACCAGTTGACCGAGATAATCAGGTCGTTCTTGATTTCCGTAGGCTACTTGCCATTCTCTTTTTGTCTGTATAGTGAGTGAAAATATATGTAGTGCCTGATTAAAATCGATTATACTCAAAAAAATGATGTACAGCCTTGTTTTGAAGGTAATCAGGAATTCATTCACATTCAATGAACACATTCAACAGGATTTCACTTCAGTGATATAATGAGCTGCCTAGGAAGTTAATTATGACTCCAAAGAAATCATCATCTTTCAGAAGTACACTGTACGCTTTCGCTTCCTGCGAACGAGAGAAAAATCTAAACAACGTGAGAGAATGGCATGAAGTTTGCCCATTAGGATGACCATCAAATCCATGGCATATGAGTTTGCGTAACACATTTTCTTAAAAGAGCACGTGATTTCCCCATATTCTTGATACCTCAATGCACGTACCATCAACCGAAAAATTGCAAGTGACAGACCTCAAACAAAAATATGAACGCTAATGGATGTTCATAAAACCGAGGGATAATTAAAACAAAGCATAAACCTCATTTCATAATTTGTCAAGATGACTCGACCTTTGTCGTGGGACGTTTTGATACGAATTTGAAGTTTTTTCAGCGGTTTCCTACGTGCGTTTGACCTCCGGGTAAGAAGCACCTCGGAGCACCTTAAGTTTATTACAGCAACAACTTCCAGCTGTCGATAAAGATGATATTAAATGGGGAAAAGACACTCAACTGACTTGCAGCTGAATCTATTGTTCATTGTGTTGACACTGCAAGATCACCTCAAATGAAGCAGTACTCAAGGCTATAAAGTTTATTTACTGGTATGACAACACTGACAACACAGAAGCGAGTCAGCTTAAGTTAATTTGGGCTTCTTAATCTTCTTAGTCTGTGAAGACGCCTGTACACATCCGCTTATGCACCATTCTGTGCTCATTTGGAAGATACAACTGATGACAATTTGAACATACAAATATCTGTTGAGCCCCAAATTGGGTGATACCGGTAGTGTAGTAGTGTCAAACAGTTTCCACAAAGCCTATTATTGTTCTATATTTAGCCATCTTCGGATGCCTACCAGGAATCTCTAAGGTTTTCCCGTCCAGTTTCAGAAATATTACCAGAATGTCTTTTGAAAATCCTAAGGACGTGCAGACATAAAAAGGGCTGATAAGGAGGCATTTCGTAGGGATTAGGCTGAATAATTCGGCTATTATTTACAGAGTTTATACGGTAGTGATTAACATTTCTTGCTGAATGGGTAATTCAGGAGCAGTGTGTTGCATGGTACAAAAACGTTCTCCCTATTCCGGAAAAAGAAAAAAATCAACTTAACAAGAACTGGTTGTAAATGTACAGCAGATAACTTGTTCAAGTGGATAGCAACGAAATATCTTGAGTCCCGGCGTAAAACTTGGTTTGATACCCTTCCTGGTCAGAATACTCCAACTTGAAGATGATATCGAAATACGAAGTGAAACAAATCTGGATCCAAAATACTCATTGGGTAAGAGGAACTTGTGTGGGTGGAGGCATTTTTCCCCTTTTCTATGATTGAGTTGATCGAGTGGTGCGACTATTTGAAATATATCCATGTTACAAAGAGCTGTCAGGTCGTATCTCAGTGTGAAGTGAAACGCATCTGAGTTCTATGCAAACCGTTTGCGAATAAATGTCATCCTGAGTTGAATTACGAAATATGGGGGTGAAGTCAGTTGAGAAAAAAGGAGACATGTATTTTCTGCTATCCGGCGTTTGCTTTTAGTTTTCCAAATTCCATTGGACAGCGGATAAACAAGACAGCGTACGCATGGATGTGATGTGACTATATAGGTTGGAATCATCGACCATAAATGTGTCCAAGAAAATAATGGATACAGCAAGTGACACACACAGAGAAGGCAGAAAGGCGCATGTTTATGCATTTGTGACGAATACATATCCTGTGAAGAAAATGAAACAAGGTAAAAACAAGAATGTATGGTAAGAAATTTGATGAATTAACCGAAGCACACGGTATTATTCTTTAGCAGCACGCGCATGAAGCAGCAACAATTCTAGCTGGGCTTTTATGGCAGTTCGGTGCCTTATTCTGTCTTGTTGAAAATGTGTACAATTTATCCCAAAAATGAACAACTATACCTGATCGCAACGATCTCAAACCTTCAGTACAGTACATTGTGCAACAGAACTACGGTTTATTTTCGTGAAGAACCAACATTCATGGAGTAGTTAAGGGTTAATTTCGCCCTATAACAGCTGATCGCATAAGAGGTACATTTCCTTATCTTTGGAAGGAGGTTAGTTGAAGGAATGTTCGGATGGCCCCACTGTGAAGCACTTTCATTGTTCTGAGATGACTAAATTCGATTCTTATACAGTGCTAAATCGTATGCGCACAGGATAAGCTGAGGAATTTGCGTTGCTGACCACGCACTCGTAAAATCCCAGACATGGCCATAACAAGACACTTTTTTGGGAATATTGTGTGCATTATTTGGTATCCATAGACGAAAAGGTCACAGCAGTGTAGCGATTTCTGCATTGTAATATTGGGATTAGATAGCGCGAATTCGGTAGAACCTCGGAAAAATGATTGATTGGGACCAACAGTTAAAATATGTTTTTCCAGCTCAGTCGCTGATGAAGTGAATTCCATAGGAAACTCCTTCGCTAGACATACCTGATGTGGATTTACCTTTATTGCTTTGGGTTTAGAAAGTAGACAACTAATTATACTGGCAAATTCTGTATTGCATATCAAGGAATAAAGTACACACGAATATATTCTGTTTGATTTTGATTTTTCGTCAACCATTGAGTACACACTTTCATGTATTAGCCGGCTCATGTGCAATTCTGGCGAGCTCACTTACAACCAATCCCTTGATTGTTGCATAGAAGGGACTAACCGGAAATTCATCGTAAATTCAGGATAGGTACATGTCGCGGCTGAACTATCCGGTTATCCTTTCACACACCTACACACACCGGTATAAAGTTGTTCTAGTCTGACTTAGCAAGGGATACAGATTCCACCTCTCGAGCAACAGGGTAAGCGAATGTACGAAGTTGTGCGTAGAATTTAACCTGTGGAATTCCGAACGGGAAAGAATTCAAAATGCGACAAGATGGGAGGAGACGTTATAACACAAAGCGAACTTTCACGTTGCGGTTGGTGATTACTCAGCTTTTGAGCAACATTCCAATCCCAGACCGGTTACAGATCCTATCCTTAGGACGGAAGTATAATTTCAGTAATTTTTCAGCTATATTTGTCGGTCAGCGAATTTTGCGAGCATAGTTTTGAGAAGTTAATATACAGCAGACCTTGAACCATTCTTGGTATAGTCAATAGTCGCATATATATTACCCCAAGTCTACAAGGAACACTAGGATTCACACCCGCGGCTCCGTTCAAAACACAATTGGCACGCCTCAACATGAATACTGCAGGGCGTTTCGGATAACTCGTGACTGTTAACGCCAGCTGGAAAAAATCAAACGGGAACGAACAATGTTATTTTGACACCTCCGTTGTTTACATCCGACGGCAAAGCAATTTGCCTACCAGGTCTTGCAAGTAATAATTATATAATTTTAACCCGAGAATATTGAAAATGTTAGATTGTTTGAGGCTTTTACCCAACAACAGATATGCCAGCTGTTCCTTGAACTTCTCTATAGCGGTGGAATGTCAATTTATTTCAACCCTTTCAGGATGAGTATTTGTGTTTACATCACAGCAGAGTAATTAAGAGTCGACTACAGGAGTCATGTGTCAATGCTTTCTTAGAGTGTGTCTATCATCCTTCAACCAGTCTGTATATGTACTCAATTGCTTTCTTCTTCCCAGTTCCAGAACAGAGCCAAGCACACCGCAGTCTATTTTGAAAGGTCTTTGAATACGTCGAACAATACGTGGCGCAAGGCTTGATACATTGCGTAGAGCACAGGTATTGTGCTTGGTCCGAACACGAGAATGACTGCTTTTGAGAATTCACTCCAAACAGCTGCGCCTACGAAGCACTCAAGCCCACTAGTTTACCACGAATTATGTAATATTACCCTGAAAACGAGCGGCCAGAAGAATCGTGAAGATGAATCGTAAACGGAATGTAAATATGGGGTAAGCGAATCAAGATTTTCGAGTATTCAAACTCTACGCAAGAAAACGTCCAGTCTATCTGGCGACCATAAAAAATCCACGTTTAGAGGCTCTTCAAAAGTGGTTTTTATATTATTGGTAGAACTGTTCGACAACCAGCTGCCTATTTCGACCTTCTTGGACCCCACTTGGTAGGGGCAGCCCCCGAATTTCACGATCTTTATTTTCAACTTGAACAGCGAATTTACCCACCTGGCCAAATTACACATTAAAATAGTGTTAGAGAAAGACTGTCGTGTTCACAAACTAGAAGTTATGCTGCAACCATTCAAGTTAACCGTTTGACACCAAATTAATTTGTGGATTCGTCCGCCTGAATATCATTTCTTAAAAACCTGAATAGTACAAATATGATCAGTGTTCACACCAAAGCTTCGGTACGAGCGATGAGCATGTATTGTACGCCCTTGGCTCCAACTATGAGTGATTTTCCTACTCATTCGATACTTTCGGTGCACTGGAACACTTAATTGCTACATGGTTAGTGCAGCTGTGTGGCTGTCTCCAAAACCTTATTAGAGGCATAAGACTACGCACTTCGATGGAGAGAACACAACACTTCCGAGAAAACATCAAACTTTGTATTTTTCTTAAGCTGTGTGGCTGTCTCCAAAACCTTATTAGAGGCATAAGACTACGCACTTCGATGGAGAGAACACAACACTTCCGAGAAAACATCAAACTTTGTCATTTTTCTTACACTTTTCAGCCTAGTCTGCGTGGTCTCCACACGAAAACCCACTCTACTTAGGTCCACTAGCAACAGTGTGGGGAAGAAATATTGAAGGGTTCTGAAATTTCGCCGCAGTGATTCTCATATTCCTCTTGGGTCCTGAACTTCACAGAACGTAAGAAATTTTTAAATTTACTAAAAACTTTTGCTGCGTATATTTATGTACTACTATCTCTAAATTTTTGAGATTCCAATAGGTAGTTACGGTAACTGTGTTTGGTCAAACACGTTTCTTTCTCACTGTAAAGGAGGAATATGAGCTATAAATATCCTACTTGAAGTCAAAAGCCGGTACCTCACTGGCTTAACTATATTCGTTACTACATTTGAAAGAACAGATTATTGTAAGGGCATACTTTAGTAGAACGAAAAGACATCAGTTTGTATTGTGGATCATTTTCTCAAATATGCATTCAGTTTTGGCAACGAAATTCTATATAATTGGAAGTACAGAACATAGTGCACCACACTCAAAGAGTCTTCCTGACTTCGCCAACTAAAATAAAGATTCAGTCTTGGACCGAACAGATGCCTTGAAATTCGATATCTCACACTGAGTTGGTTGATTCTGCACTAGGACCCTAAGTTGGTGACCGGCCTTCACAGAGAAAATATTTGCTCCTTCCTTGTGAGAAATTAAGAACCCTTCCTTTTTAGCCCTTCCCATTATCCTCAAAATACCTTCGTTAGTTTGTAAATGAGCTGAATAGCCTCTCTTTGCCAACTGTGACTGTACTGTATTTTAAGTCTGTTCGTCCCAGTCGCTTCTACGAAAGTCATTGTTTGCCTCCAAGTGCAAGCGATGCTGTCATCTTGTACCCACGTTGGCTGAGGATGAAGGTAAAGAAGAATTATATAACCGTGCTAAAAAGCAGCTTTAAAATGCTTGAATGCCAGGTATCAGTTTCATCGTTGAAGTAGCAGTTTGAATTTTACATTGACAGTGCCGCCATTTGCAACACAGGCTTTTGTTGCCTTTCTAAGGACAGCTTCTTAAATAAGCGCGCTCGATTTACTTTGGTTGTAATCTGACTTTACTTTCACTTGAGATATTGTTTGTTTAAATTTGTACGTTTTGTAGACACACTTCACAAGTAGCAACGCTTACACGGTGACTAAGACCTGCAACATGAGACCAAACTGGTAAAACTGAGGGGGCGTTTTGGATTAATATTTTCAGTTTCAATCACAGATCAAGCCAAAGCTTCTCAGACGGCAATAATGTGCTTCTGGTTTTCTATTCGAGACAGTAGGGTGACACTATGTTAAGAAGATGGACTTTTAAGATCTACAGCCTTGCCAGGTAATGAATAATTTCTTTTCTGTTTCACTAGCCTCATGAAACCTGATCCTTTTGCTACATGTTTCCTTCTTCCTCCTTCAGATTTCCTTTCGCCTATCGAGCAAGTTCACAGAGGATAAAAAAGTCGGTGTGGATTTACAAAAAGGTGACAAGTGATGTACCAAGACATTGATAAGGGTTGGACATCTTTGAGAGCGTCAAACGCTTGTTAAATTTGGAGCGAAGGATACTGTGGGGGTGTGCATACTGTGTGAATACTGACTGAGAGTCTGCAATGAGAGCTGCTACATGTATGCTCCATCTGAAGCAAGCAGCAACACGATTGGAAAATGTATTTGCGCGTCAGTCGAGTTTCGGTGTTTTCAAGTAGTCACTGTAAACCTTTAGGATTAGCTAAGACGGTACCATTGGCGCCTGCTTACTACAAAAGTCTAAGGTGGTTCTAGATGGCGGATAAGAGGGTTAGGGCTTAGTGACCCATTGTGACTGATGTATTCAGGCCCTGTTTCCTTTATACAAAATTGGTGAGGTAATGCATTCGGACACATCCCAGAACACGAGCGTACTCTTCCACTAACATCGAGATGTCGATGCGTACAGATAAAAACGCCGATGGAAATGGTACTCGTGAATAACTGCAGAAAGACTTCCTTGAGAAAGTGCTCTGGCCTGGCCCCAAGGAATCTGGTTTTTAATTGATACCTTGTGAGAGACTATCGTTAATTTCCAGATGCGTTTCTGGTGCCCTGGATCCTGTAGTATTCCAACACAAATTAGGTAGCTGGACTAATTGCGTATAAAAAACCGATCTCTAAGTGCGAACGGCTCCTTCACTGTGTGCTACACAGTTGCTGTGGCTTTTTCTTTCGAGAGAAATTGGTGCGTTGGCCCTTATTTCACTAGATTATTTCTTTCCAGGGAAGATAACGTCCAAGCAGAATCTAAACTTGTCCTTAACTTTGGGTTTTATCTCTGAAAAAGTGGTTAATGTGAATTCTTTACTTTGGGCAGAAAGTTTTGGGGTTATCAGCAAAAAATGAATTTTTCGAAGTCATAGGTTGACTTTCTTAGTATAGAAATTCATCTGAGGGGATGTGCGGAAATTTTCGGGTGGTCCACCACCACAGAGATGAAATTGAAGCAAGCAAGTATGTTGATCCTCTTCAAAACAAAACACTCTTGATGACCTCTTGGCCATTAGTTGTTCTTGGTGTGACTTCTTCGACAAGAGACCATCCAGACAAGAAACTTTATATGGAATTAGCGGAATGCACTCATTTTCAAACCAACTTGTTTTTGCGGGAGACCTAACTGGAACCCAGCTGAATTACTCGTTTATGATGTTTTTAAGCAGGATCATAAGTGGGAGATTCAGCTGGGTTCTAGGTGAGTCTCGCGCAAAACTGCGTTGGTTTGCAAATGAGTGTATTTAGCCGATTTCGTGCAATTTGTGTTCAAGTAGAAAATAAGATTAACGGAAACTCGGGGACTGCGCCTACCTGATGAGACTCAAGAATGAGGAAACCGGTCGTGGGCTGTCGAAGTTCTCAGCAATCTTATGACTATTGTATCACGTCTAAGCTCTACATGACTTTATTTGTTATGGCTTTTCCTGTAGAGAATATCACAGTCCACAAAAATTAAACGAATGATTGCCCGTTCGCGATAGCGCACGCACATCAGCAGCAAACGAACAGAGGTCATGATGGGGACTTGAAGGGGCAAGTCTCATGACCACTTGAACGTCCACCAACCAGGAGAGGAACCAAGCAAAAAGCTAGAATGAGTTTTTGCCCAAACGACCAACGATCATTCAAAACTCACCTGGATGAGTAGACTTTATACCAGCCCACACAGTTACAACAACCTTGCAATTCCTTTCAGAGCGCATTTCTACTCACCACGACTAATGATGAGACACCTGCAACCAAATTTTTCAGCTCAGCGAATAAACCAACAGACGTCAAAATAAACGGGGCTACCAACATTCTTTCCAGCCGTAAAAGTTACTTTGCTCTATTAAGTCATGAGTTTAATGAGAGTTTATCGATGAAAAACATATAGTAGTGTGAATATGTATAACGTCTAGGGGTGTGTAAAAATTTTATTTGAAAAACAACCCTGACATCAAGGCCAAAACTAAGAATGTAATTCGGATAAATGTAAGAAAAACCATGACCAAGTAATGTGGCAAAGCTGTATTCTAAATTTCTAACCCTCCTTATTGCACGTTCTGCTTTTGATGACGGAATTATTCACCCAAATGGGCGTTTTGTCGTTTACCAAAATTGACATTGTTCATCGCTCTTATATTATCGCGCTAGCTACACTTTGAAACATGATGGCGCCCACAAGTTACTTCGTTCAGGATTGTCACGTGGCTTTTGGTCATGGAACTTTTGACGAATTTCAAAGAATAGTGTCTCAAACGTCACTTCTTAGCAAAAGTAACTAGGGGTTTCTAGAGCAGTTGGATTTTTTTAGAAATAAAAAAACCTTTAAGAAAAATGACGAAGAATGCTCGCTGGTAATTCTCAGAAGAAGAGGTCTATTTCGGAGGCACACCATGAAATATGGCGGTAAAATGGTAAAAAAAGGCCCATACTTTTTTAGCCAGAATATAGAAATTGAACGTCAACTATGGATTTGATATCAGGAAGTGGTAGGATTCCTGGTGCCTCTGGCAGACTGCAAAGAATATGCAAAATGGAGTAACAAGTTGATGTAACCTGTTGGGGACGACCGTATTTTACGATAATAAATAAGAATATATTCACATTCAATGGTGAAATCACGTTTGCCAACTTTAGCCAGTGAAGTTTTTACGACGGATTTTAAGGAAAAACAACGACACCTTCACTTTTATAAAGTCGATCGGTCAGGATGGACAAGCCCAAACTGTGTGGCTAAACATACCATCCATTTGGGGTGGAAAAACCAACCATCTTGTCCTAGAACCTAATTATTCCAATAACCATTCTCATTAATATTCATGTTGAAGTTGTAATGAAACTCTAACAGTGAAGTGGAATGTTGGGATCCATTCAAGGAAACACCCAAATAGCCAGCGGTAAATTCCTTTGAAATATAATCGCCCACTTGTAGGCTAAGTCTAAAAGCCAGATGTGGATCAACTTATATGTAATGCCGAGAATTTTTCCACATTCTGTATCGGTGGGAAATTCCCCAGCATATCTATGGAAGTTCTGATGAGCAAAGAATGGGTTTAATTATTCTAGAATAAATCGATATCGTTTATAAGTGAATCCTCTCTAAAGGATTCCCCCCATTCTGATGTATATTCTCATATCATGAAATGGACTGACCATTAACGATACCCTAATTTAAGCACTTCACCAATATGAAGTTGATACAAAAGCTCATTCATACAAACCCAAGAACGGGAAAACTTCCTTTTTCCTTTATATTGTTCTGTCTAGTTTGTAACGATGTTGTCGGCCTTGTCCTTGCCCAGCGGTCATGTTGATTGACATCGATGCGGCTATACGATAAGCCTGCTCCGGTTTTTTTAATTCTTATGGCGTCTGAATTGACAGGCAGAACGGCAGCGTGTACGCCTGCATGAGAGTTTGAATAAGGCTGATCATGGGCGTGACCAGCAGCGACCTGCGTAACCATGGTCAGTTGGCAAGCAACTGGATTTGAGAAAATTCACTTCCAATAGGAACAGTGGAATGTTTTGTATCTCACATTTAGTCAAATGGCGTTTAGATTGCTCACCGATATCCGGTCCGTACGCATCACCGGTAATCATTAGTAGTAGTGATGGTAGGGTAGTGCTGGTGTTATTGGGGGTCGGTAGCACACAACCATTCCTCTGGCGGAGAAGTGAGGAATATGTCCTAAGGACTTTGTCAGTAAGTTGACAATAATACCAAAGTAGAAATATCTTGGAAATTTCTTACGGGTTTCTGTCTTTTAGATGGCCATTGCAAACAAAAGGTGACAGCACAGATTTTTAGCTTGAGATGGGTTTGTATTAAGTCAAAGAGCTCGAAAAACACGGTGCATGTCATGCATTACCAAAAGAAAGAAATTCAGTTTTTATTGAATTTCACCCCAGATTGTTAGACGCAAAATATTTGATTCTGTTTATCAGCATAACAGATTGCCTTGAAACAGATGCCCCAAGCATATGTTCAGGAACATAGGCTTCTAAGTTCGAAAATACCTCGACGAGGCTGAAAAATCAATTGCTAGAGCTACACAAATCCTCCAGCATATCGTGAGTATCTTGTTTTCTATGTATAATTTAATTCACCATATATATCCGTCTGTCAGCGTTTGGAAGACTCCACACATGTGTGCGGATTATTATTGTTGATAATAATATTATTAATAATAAATAACCTATGGGCTGTAGCAGCCTCTTAGTGCCTAGCTCCCATACAACCAGAAACCATGAGAGCTGAAATACTTCCAGATTGCTCAAGCCTACACAGAAGGAGTCGAGCTGTTGAACCCGGGTTCGACCATCCAATCAACAACTTCACGCCTTAACCATTGGGTCATCTCAACCTCATACTTGCGTAGCACAAGAATGGTAGTTATTGATATGGCACCAAATTCCTTCGCAAAGTTTGTCGTTTTGTTCGCTTTTTGTAGAAGAACTGATACTTGGAATAACGTCTTGATGACACCACCATTCAGTTTGCAGCAGTGAAACAGTGATAGACTAACAGTTGACGTGGAAGTAGGTATGTGTTCACAACACGTTTACGGTCAAACTCCATTCAAACTAATTAAAATTCCATACAACCACTGTAATTAACAAAAACTATACTAGAGGTAAACATGTGAAAACGGTATCCTATAAGAATGAGACGGCCTTGTAAAAAGGTGCAGCAATGGTCTACCGGGAAGCCAGACTCAATGAGTAGGCATACTTTTCGTTATGGAAACTACTGAAAACTCTTCGACAGCCCGCGACCGATTTCGCCCTCCTTGGGGCTCATCAGGTAGGCGAAGTCACCGAGTTTCCATCAAACTTATGTTCTACTTGAATCCAAGTTGGACTGCTTTCGAGAAATACACTCATTCGCAAATAAAATTTGTTTTCCCGGGAGACTCAATTGAGTCTTTCGTTTATGATATTCTACAAC